AGGATCGTGGCCCCATAGGGAGCTTCCCCGAATGCCCCAGCGGCAGGGTTTGCATGTGCCCCCCCCGCTGATTTCTGTACACCCCTCACGAGGATCGCGGCCCCATAGGGAGCTTCACCGAAGGCTTTAACGGCAGGGTTTGTATGCGTTCCCCCGCTGATTTCTGTACACCCCTCACGAGGATCGCGGCCCCATAGGGAGCTCCACCGAAGGCCCCAGCGGCAGGGTTTGCATGCGTGCCCCACCCATTTCGGCACACGCCTCACGAGGATCGCGGCCCCATAGGGAGCTCCACCAAAGGCCCCTGCGGCAGGGTTTGCATACGTTCCCCAGCCGATTTCGGCACACCCCTCACGAGGATCGTGGCCCCGCAGGGAGCTCAGCAGAAGGCCACAGCGGCAGGGTTTGCATGCGCCCCCCCGCCCATTTTGGCACACCCCTCACGAGGATCGTGACACCCCATAGGGAGCTCCACCGAAGGGCTCAGCGGTAGGGGTTGAAGACCCCCAGCGGCAGGGTCCGCGTGGCACCGCCGCTTCATGGCGGCGCACCTCTCACGCGTTTCGTGGCCCCATAGGGAGCTCCACGGAAGGCCCCAATGGCGACGTTCGCAGGAGTACTCCCGACTCATGTTGGCACACCCTTCACACGTTTCGTGGCAGAAGGCTATACCGCGTGCGCTACTCGGAGTTTGCGCGCCCCCTCCCTCGTCTCATCTCCCTCGCGGGACTCGCAGCTGCATATGGTTGGGTCTTTCGCCAGGCTAATTTCGACAAAGCAACCTTCGTGGACTGTCAGGGCATCCTGTGGGCTTCTCATAGGCTTCGGGTTGCTCTTTTGGGTCTCGAGAGCCCTGTTGGAGCCCTTTGATGTTCCACATGCAGCTATATAGGGCAATATTGGAGCCACCTGTAGTCGTCAGAAGCCAGTAGGAGCCGAAAAGGGGAACACTCCAACATCATGGAACAAGTTTTTAGGTCCCCATATCATGAGATGGGATTCTTGTTATTCACCATATCCACAGGATGGGGTTCTTGTTATTATTCCGACCGCGCCACCTCCTTCACTCAGTCACCCCTCCCTCCCTCTTCCTTCTCATGCTATGTTCTCATGCTATGTTATGTTATGTCATGCTATGTGGGGTTCTTAATACCCCCCATATCCAAAGGAGGGGGTTCTGGTTCCCCATATCCAAAGGACGATGTTCTTGTTATTACTCCGACCGCGCCGAGAGTCACCTTCTCCCTCCTCCTCCTACTCCCCATTTTAAATTATGTTATGCACTGGCATGCTATGTTATGCTATGGTTTATGTTAGGGCATGTTGTGGTATGGCATGCCATGGTACGATATGGTATGACATGGCATGGCATGCTACGGTACATCATGCTATGGTATATTGTGTTATGGCACACGGTGTGTTATGCAGTGCCATTTTATGGTATGATGATGGTGTTGATGGTGAAGCTGATGACGATGATGCTGATGCTGATGCTGATGCTGATGACCATGATGATGACGATGCTGTTTAGGACGATGCTGATTACGATGCTGATGATGATGCTGCTGATGATGATGCTGATGATGCTGCTGATCATGATGATTGTGCTGATACTGATGGTGATGCTGCTGTTGATGATGGTGACGATCATGATGGTGAGACTGATGATGCTGTTGATGATAAGGTTGATGCTGCTGCTGCTGATGATGAAGCTGATAATGATGACGCTGATGCTGATGATGATGATGACGATGATGATGCTGCTGATGAGGACGGTGGTGATGACGATGATGGCGGAGAGGATGTCTCGAGCGAGGCGTGGGCTTCAGCACCCCCAATGGGGGAGCCACCAGGGAGTATTGCACTCCCCCGTTCGCGCGAAAATGGCTATGATGCCTCGAGCGGTTTACCTGTTTCAGGACTCAATATCCTCCGCTTTCGGAGCAGATGTGGATGCTGTCTCGAGCGAGGTGCTCATTTTCGCCCCCAGGGGCGGCGGCAGATTCTGAGGATGTCTCGGGCGGTTTGCTTATTCTGTTGGCCAGACTCGTGGGCACGGATCCTCTTCAGGATGCCACAGGAGGCTCCAGCAGGTTCCAGGAGGCTCCAGGAGGCCACAGGAGATACCAGGATGTACCAGGATGCCACAGGAGGCCACAGGAGGCCACAGGAGGCCCCAGGAACCCCCAGGAGGCCACACGAGGCCCCAGGAGGCCCCAGGAGGCCCCAAGAGGCTCCAGGCCCCAGGACGCCCCAGGCTCATGCGCAGAGACGCGTTCGTACTACTGAGACTCATTCACACGCCAACTCAAAGTTAAAGTCACTTCCAGACCGTCAATACCCACGCCCATCTATATTCGATAACTCTTGCGCGTAGGTGCTCACTGCGAACAGGTCCATGCTAATAGATGCACACATGGGGAGCTCCGCGCAGTGAAAACTTACTTCGACGCATCCTACTCCTCACCCTCCTCTTCTCTCCTCCTACCTTCTCCCCGTCTCCTCCTACTTATAGTCCTTCATACTCAGATTCGATCACACCCCAACTGATGATGGTGCTGCTGCTGATGATGATGCTGCTGCTGATGCTGGTGATGCTGTTGATCGTGATGCTGGTGGTGGCGATGATGATGCTGATGCTGATGATGATGATGGTGGTGGTGGTGGTGATGATGCTGATGCTGATGATGATGATGATGATGATGATGCTGATGCTGATGATGGCGGGGCAGACTCTGAGGATGTCGCGAGCGATGCGCGGGTTTCAGCACCCCCAAGAGGGGGCTGCCAGGGGGTATTGCATTCCCCCGTTCGCGCCACAATTGCGGAGGCTCGAGGATGTCTCGAGCGAGGCGCTGGTTGCAGCCCCCCCCGAAGGTGGAGCCGCCAGGGAGTATTGCTTTCCTCCATTCGCGCCTTAATGGAGGGAATGGCTCGAGCGGCTTGCCTGTTTCAGATTTGGGGGATATCTCGAGCGATGTGATCATTTTCGCTCCCGAGTGCGGCCAGATTTTGAGGATGTCTCGATCGGTTTGCCTGTTTTGGTGGCCAGACTCGTGGGCAGGGATCCTCACCAGGATGCCACAGGAGGCCCCAGCAGGCTCCAGGAGGCCCCAGGAGGCATCAGGAGGCCGCAGGAAGACTCAAGAGGCCACTGGATGCCCCAAGAAACTCCAGGAGGCCCGAGGAAGCTCCAGGAAGCCTCAGGAGGCTCCACAATGCTCCATGAGGCCACAGGAGGCCACAGGAGGCCGCAGGAGGCCACAGGAAGCGCCAGGAGGCACCAGGAGGCCCTGCGAGGCACCAGGAGGCCCCAAGAGGCCCCAAGAGGCCCCAGGAGCAGGAGGCCTCAAAAGGCAACAGGAGTGGCTCCAATCCCGTGTGTTGTGCGTATGCTCCTATATATTGGGACCCCCCTGGAGCACGAATCCTTTGTTGTGTTTTACGTATGTTTCTATATATTGTCCTTCCCCTTGTGTATCCAATTCTATGTGTTTTACGTCTGTTCCTATAGATTTGGCCTTCAGGCACGAGTCCCTGGTGTTTTACGTGTGTTTCTATAGATTGCCCTTCTACTGCGGCTCCAATCCGTAGTGTTTTGTATACGTCTGTTCCTATATATTGGGCCTCTCCTGGGGCATGACTCCTCCCAAGGAGGCCCCAGGAGGCTCAGGCTCCAGGCTCCAGGAGGCCCGAGGAGGCCACACGAGGCCTCAGGAGGCCCCAAGAGGCTCCAGGAGGCCCCAGGAAGCCTCAGGAGGTTTCAGGAGGCCCCAGGACGCCGCAGGCTCATGCGCAGAGACGCGCTCGTACTATTGAAACTCATTCACACCAACTCGTTCACAGTTAGAGTCATTCCCAGACCGTCAATACTCAAGCCCGTTGACATTAGAAAACTCTTACGCCCCGACACTCACGGCGGACAGGTCCATGCTAATAGATGCACATACGTGGATCTCCACGCAGCGAAGAATTGTTTCAATGATTTGAGACTCCTGGGGGCCTCTTGAGGGCTGTCTTGGATCATCCTGAGCCATCTTCTCGCCGTCTTGGGGCATTTGGGAGCTGTCGAGCGGGCATCTTTGGGCTTGCCACCTATGGATCCCTTGGCACCTATGGATCCCCTGCCTTGTAACGTTCGGGGGTTGGAGCTCTCTGAGGCCTCTGCCGGGGCGCTCTTTGGAGTCTTCCGATCCCTTTCAGGTTTTTGAGGTTAGCTACCTGGGGGCCACTTGGGCCTTGTCTTGGATCAGGTAGGGCCACCTCGAGGCTATTTTGGGTCCGTTTTGGGTTGTTTTGGGGCCATCTTGGGGCGTGCTATCCATTGATCCCCACTGCTGTGCCGCTCTTAGGCTCTCTTCGAGCTCCCATGGGCCTTTCCTTTCCTGGGGCGCTCTTGGAAGTCGTCGGAGCCAGCTTGGAGCTTGTCTGGTCCCCACTTGTAGCCATCTTGGGTGATCGCGGAGCCATTTTGAGGCTTACGACGACAATAGGGAACGACAACGAAACATCTCGTGGAACCTTTTTACGTTTTGAAAGGTTTCTGGCCTCCTGGGGGCCCCTTGTCTTGGGAGCTGTTCTTGGGCCACTTCGGGGCCTAATTTTCTTAGGGTCTGCCACCCATGGATCTCCGTTCCTGAGTCGCTTGTGGAGCTCCTTTAGGGCGATCCCGAGGCTGTTCTGGGGGTCCTGATGGCCGCGCTCAGGAGCAACGCTATCTCTGGCCCAACGTGCCCGGAGCGTGCCTGGGGTACTTTTCCTCCGGGGGCACTCAGACGCCATGCGCGCACGTGCAGTAGTGATATTCCAGATGCGCTTCAACCTCTTAACGGCGATTCTAGCACTCCTGTGGCCCGCTGGGCCAGCGACTTAAGAGTGCCCATGGGGGTGTGTTGACAACGCTCTCACTATGCCATAACAACATTGGTGATGATGGGCTGCAGGCCCTACTATGTGGCGGCGGTGACGGCCAGCCGCTCTCACGAAGCCAGGACTGTGGCATGATCAACGGCGTGATTCCCCTGGCGACTCTTCACCTTCGCGCGACTGGAATCACACGAGTGGGCCTCAGTATATTGGTAGACTACTATGAAAATCATCGTGGCCATAGTGACATTCCCCTCAGGCTTCTGTCGCTCGACCACAACGACCTCTCAGAAGCTCTTGGCGCGTGCGAGGAATTCTCAAGATTTTCGCAGGCATTGGGGGCCCAATGCATGGAGCTAAAGGAGTTGAACTTGCGTTCTACGCGTCTGAACGTGTCTCAGCTTTCTGCTTTATGCAGGGCAATCCCACTTGCACCACGGCTTCATCGTTTAACGATTCAAGGTGTTGCGCTGTCAGGCGATTTCCAGAGCGACAGCTGTAGTGTCAATCCACTTCTGCGTGCGGTTGCAGACCCGCGCAGTAAGGTCAAGTATGTGGACGTGAGTGCTGTGGAGCACAAGAAATTGCACAACGATTTGATGCATGCAGCTAAAAACCGTGAAAAGAAACGCGTCGGCGACCCTGAGGCTGGCGCGAAAGTGCTGGACCGCATTGATCTCTCGGTTCCGATTCTCGCTCGGGTGCGCGAGTTGTCGTTTGTTCACCCGCATTACCCGGCGCGCGCTAATTTGGAGTGTCAATTCGGCACATTGGAAAAGGTGGATTGCGACGAGGGTGTCAGGCTGGATGATGACGACGTCGGCAAGTTGTACGAATTCGACGTTCAATTCAGGGACGCGCGATTGTTCTTGACCCGGAAGAACGAAGCTTCAGATATCCCGTACAATTTCAAGACCCGTCGAGGTATCGCTCTCATTCTGGTACGCACTATTCCTGAACCGAACGGTGTGGCATACGAATTCGGCAAGAAAATATTGGCCTACCGACCGAGGCCGACTACGCAGGCGGCTGGCATTCTGCGCGCTCGCTTTGAATTGGGCATTCTTCCGGACTTCCTGGCCCAGGACTCCGAGACTGTATGGAAGTTGGACGGAGGGCGAGGAGTGTGGGAAGGAGGGGTAGGAAGCAGAAGTGGGCGTGGAGAAGAACGGAGAAAGAGAAGGAGGGAGGAGGAGGACAAGGAGGTTCTGTATTCATTGGTTCACTCTTCCGGGGGGAGACTACTTAAACATGCACAAGAGTAGGTGTGTGGGTGGGGCGTGGGTGGGAACGGGCGAACCCAAGATCGATGTGCAAGCCGTGCCCACCCGCGGACGCCCATCGAGACATCAGTGCGGCGGTTTCCCAGCGGTGGATCTGGACTCTTCTGTGATGGTAGTACTGAGTACTGGCATGGTTTCGCCAGCTGAAGCCTGCGATTGACTACATGGTACTGGCATGCCGTAGTAAACTCAACACCTCAGTAGGCATAGTTTCCCAGAGTGCCGATGTAGGCATAGTTTCCCAGAGTGCCGATGAACCGCGGCAAGACCGTGGCCGAATGTACCCAGCATGGATCACCGCAACAATTCTTGACGTTTTGCGTATCCCCACCGGTCCGTAGCCCCCCCTCTGGCTCAAGCCGCTCTGGCCCAAGCTGCGAGCCGTCAGGAGGCCTCTGCCCGTTCCCTTCCCTTCCCTTTACTTGTTTCGTTTTTCCCCTTCCACATTTCCGTGATGAGCGCGTGGCTTTTTGGCGGGGCCTGGTCAGAGTGGCAGGACCCACGAGGTTGGCACAGTCAAGGTTGGCACGGTCAGCATTGTCCCCCACATGATACCCAGCGAATATGGCAAAGCCAGGATTGGCATAGTCAGCAGGGCCGCGACTTCGACTACGCCATCACAGTCTGGGCTGCCCGCCGCGCGAGACAGCGCGCGGCTCGTCAGCGAGCAAAACAAGATACTTCGCCGCCTGGACCAGGATGTGACGCTTCGGCGGCCCCGCCCGCAAACGACCCTACCACAGAGTGCGAGCCCGAGGTCGTCGCTTTTCTGTGTCAGCATGGTCGTGGGCTGTATGCGTCGAGCTTCGCTAAGCATGGCTTTGAGCGCATGGCTGAGGTACGGCTTATGAGTAATTGACACATGCGCGACATCGGCTTACGACTTGGCCGTTGCATACGTCTTGCTACAGCATTGGGCCAGCAGGCTGCAACTGAACAGGGAACCTCTGTCGACATTCTCCTGGGACCGGCTGGCTTGCGCGGCTGTCCAACAAAGCTGCCCGGCGGCATGACCACGACGCAGACCCAGCGCGCCGACGGGTGGGCTGGCGCCCCGCCTACGCAGGGCGTTTCCCCTGAGACTGACTTTTCTCCTCCCTTCCTGCCCATGATTCCTCGAGATGCGACTGTTAGTCGCCTGCGCCGGGAAGATTGCGAAATGGGTCGCTTCCACCGGGAAGAGCGCGAAGATAGTCGCGAATCGCAGGAGGAGGAACAGGAAGAAGTCAGGGAGGACCTTGCCGACTGTCCAACGCAACCCACTGGCAATGCGACTTCTTGGCGCACCCAGCCGCCTCGGATTCCAACGGACTCTGTGACGGTCAGTCGCCGCCACCGGGAAGAATGTGATGATAGTCGCGAGTCGCAGGGCGAGGGGCAGGGAGAAGACAGAGAGGACTTTGCCGACCGTCCAACGCAACCCGCTGGCAACACGACCCCTGGGAACACCCAGCCGCCCTGGATTCCAACAGACTCTGCGATGGTCGTTCACCTACACCGGGAAGATTGCGAAATGGGTCGCGAGCCACAGGAGAAGAGGCAGGGAGAAGGCAGAGAGGACCTTGCCGACCATCCAACGCAACCCACTGGCAACACGACCGATGGGAACACCCAGCCGCCTCGGATTCCAATAGCCTCTGCGACGATCAGTCGCTTCCACCGGGAAGAATGTGAAGACAGTCGCGAGTCGCAGGGTGAGGGGCAGGGGGAAGTCAGAAATAATTTTTCTGACCGTCCAACACAACCCACTGGCAGCGCGACCCCTGGGAACACCCAGCCGCCTCGGATTCCAAGGGATTCTGCGATGGGGTTAGTCACCTACGCCGGGGAGATTGCGAAATGGGTCGCGAGCCGCATGAGAACGGGCAGGGAGAAGACAGAGAGGACCTTGCCGACCGTCCAACACAACCCACTGGCGACGCGACCCCTGGGAACGCCCAGCCGCTCCGGATTCCAACAGACTCTGCGACGGTCAGTCGCCTCCACTGGGACGAGCGTGAAGATAGTCGCGAGTCGCAGGGGGAAGGGGGGCCCACCGCTTGGGAGGAGACCATTGAGGAGACCATCGAGGGAGCGGCGGAGGAGTCCCTGGAGGAGAAGTGCGAGGACGAGGAGAGCGAGAGCATCCCGGAGGACGGACCTGGATATTACGGTGCAAAGAGACGACGGGACCTTGGAAGACGAGGCCGCAGTCCAACGAATGGTGGACAGCGGGCGATTCGCTGCTCTCTGTCCCTCTTCCCCGCGTCCACCAGGGGCACCCGCGCCCGAGCGCGCGACCGGCCCGCTGCAGGCCCCGCCCGCTGCAAACGCGGACTCGCCGCCTCGGCGGGCGGGCTTTGCCCGCGAGATCACCTCTGCACTGGCGTCGCCTTCGACGGACCGTGCGGAGCCGCAGGGCGACGGGGGCCCCCGGCCGTCACCCGCCGTTGACTCCTCCAGCCAATGGCGACCCAGTGTCCGAACTGCGCTGGCCCAGCCGAAGACCGCGTCGACCCTGGCGATCACCGCTGCCACCGCTACGACCGTCAGCACTGACTCGTCCCCGTGCGTGCCGCCTGCCCGTGGAGACGGGGCGGGCCTGGGCGCGTCGCTTACTATGCCCTCGCCCCCGATGCGAACGGGTCTCGGACGAGCGCAGAGCTGGGCGCGGGCCAAGCAGCGGAGCAGTCGCCTGACGAGTCTGCCTCGGGGGCCGGGGTGCTCGTGGACGACCCGCCGGCCCTCGTGGAGCGGGTCGAGGCGTGGCAAATGGCGGGGGGGGGCACGCCAGTGGCGTGACTTCTGTCGCGCCAACAAGGCGATGGGGGGCCTTGGCACTTACGATCCCGCGCGCCACGAGCCTGACGTCCACCGCCGGTTCCTAGCGCTCACGGGGAAACACCGGGACTGCGACGACTATTTCGAATTGGCCCTCACCACGATGAGCCGCCGTTCTCTTCTGGAGCGCGTTCGGGGCGTCGCTCGCTCGTTCCCAGATAGCCTCGCAAAGTGGGGGTGGCGCGCTATCGACTACAAGAAGCCTGGCAAAAGCAGAGCCCAGTCCTACAGTGCACCCATGCACGTCATCGTCGCTTTCGTGCGTGCTCGCGCCGGGCACGAGAGGACGTCGGTCTGCGTTCCCGTGGGCGCGGCGGCGCCCTGGGGCTCCCACCTACGCTGACCCGCTCCACTTTAGGTCTGGAGTGCCTACCGCGGCCCTGGGAGCCAGCCTGACGTGCTGCCCTCCCCACGCCGGGAAGTCCTTCGCCGCCTTGTGGCTGTGCCCTCTTGCGCTGGGCTTTCGAGTGTGGGTGACGCGCAAAATTGGGCATGGGCTAAGTGTGCCTGGAGTTCCTCAGGGGTTCAGTGATCACTTGCCCCCCCCCCCCCCCCTCGGCGCCGCGCGACCGTCTCCTGGCGTGCCTACCGGAGCCCCGGGAGCCAGCCGTGGCGTGCTGCTCTCCCCGCGCCGGGAGGTCCTCGCCGCCTTGCGGCTTTGCCCTCTATCACCGGGCTTTGGTAGTGCGGATGGCCCGTGCAGCTCGTTATGGGAAGTGGCGCGTGCCATGGGGGCCGCGGCCCACCGCGGCAAGCTGCCTCCATCTCCCCTTCCTGTTTTTCTTCCAAGACTGCGACGGTTAGTCGCTCTTCTCCTCCTGCGGCCCCTGCGCGCGCTTGCCAGCGCCGCGAGGACAAGCGGCTCGGCGACGAGTGCATGTGGCACGAGCAGCGCTACGCTGACGATCACAACGAGGCCCAACGCCATTGGCTCAAGCACAGCGGGGCCGAGCAGCACGTCGCCGACCAGCGCCGCCAAGACAAACGGCGCGGCAACGAGCAACCATGAGACTAGTGGCGCGACGTTGATGTGCACCGCGGGCTCCAGCACAACGGAGTCGAGGGGCGCGTCGCTGACCAGCGCCACCGCGACAAGCAGCGCGGCAACGATCACCAGAGTGTCGTGCATCGCAATGTTGCTGAGCACGCCAGGGTCCAGTTGCGTGGGCTCCAGCTCAACGGGATCGAGCAGCACGTCGCTAACCAGTACCACTGGGACAAGCAGCGCGGCAACGTGGCCTGGTACTCTCACCCCAGCTACCTGGGGCGCTCCAGCGCACAGGGTACATAGTTGATAAGAGCGCGTCGCTTTCCACGGAAGCTTAGTTGGCACAGTCAGGGTTGGCATGGCCAGGGTTGGCACAGTCATGGTCTGCATAGTCCGCGCGGTCGGAAATGGCACAGCCACGATTGGCATAGTCAGCAACAACTGCTCGAGTAAATGTTCTACCGTTCTCCTCCTCTCCTCTCACGCCGCGCGCCTGGCGTGCACTTCCTTTCCTCCCCTCCTGCGTCCTAATGCTGCAGCGGTTAGCTGCCGCACTGGGGTGCCTACCGTGCCTGGCGTGCACTTCCCTTCCCCTCCTTTGTTTCACCGGCAAGGATCGCACTGGGAGTGGGCGGTCAGGTGCCCCCTGGCCTGCTCCTGGCTGGTGTCGGCCTCCACTGATTGCCGAAAGGGTTTAGTGGGATCTCGCTGCGCTGCCGACCTCTACGGTGCAAGGACTTCGGGTTCGGCATGTGTGGCTCTGTGCGCCCGTCGGCTGCTTTCTCCTGCACGGACACCGTTTTCGACATGTGCCACTGCTGTACGGACAAGAGTTACTGCCGTTTGCAGTCCTATCTGTGGCGAGGTTGCACCCTCTTCACTCTTGCGCCGACACGATGTTTCGACATCTGTGTTCGTCCACTTCACCGATGTCATCTGGGGGTGCTTGTCGGTCTCATTCGTCTCTGACCTTGCCGTCTGACTGACTCACACCGAGTGATCGACCTCTACGTGATTTTGGTCGCGCCGCCGCGCCAATCTGGCTGCGTCTACTCGCTGGTAGCCAGTGGGGTTTTCGGACGCCACCGGGAATGGGTCTACCGGTTCTTTCCGCCCTTCTGAGCTGCCGCCCGTTTGCTGCGCCTGTTTTGCTTTTCCGCTTCTGATTTTCCGCTGCCTAGTCGTGGCCCGGCTAGAGTTTGGACGCTTTTGACCCGCTTCACGAGGCCGTTGAACCAAAAAGTATCCCCACCAACCCATCCAAAACCGATGCCCAGGTGAGTTGAGACGATCAGGGAACTGTAGGAGCAAAATAGGGGACAGCCGTCATCGCTCGAGGCAGGAGGAGGAGGAGGACGAGGAGGATGAGAAGGAGGAGGAAGAGAAGGTGGAAGGCGAGGAGGAGGAGGAGGAAGAGGAAGAGGAAGAGGAGGAGGATGATGAGGGGGAGGAGGAGCAGGACGAGGAGGAGGAGGAGGAGGAGGAAGGAGGGAGGAGGAGGACGAGGAGGACAAGGGGAAGGATGATGATGATGATGATGATGATGATGATGAGGAGGATCAGGAGGAGGAGGAACTGATGCTGATGATGATGATGCTGCTGATGCTGTTGATGCTGATCATGATTATGTTGCTGATGAGGTTGATGCTGATGTTAAGAATGATGCTGATGATGCTGCTGCTGATGATGATCATGATGATGTTGTTGATGATGATGATGATGATGATGATGATGAGGAGGAGGAGGAGGAGGAGGAGGAGGAGGAGGAGGAGGGGGAGGAGGCAGGAGGAGAAACATGTGGATGAAGAGAAGGAGGAAGAGGAGGATACTGAGGAGGGGGAAGTGGAGGAAGAGGAGGATGAGGAGGAGGACGAGGAGGAGGATGAGGATGATGATGATGATGAGGAGGAGGAGGAGGAGGAGGGCGAAAAAGGCAAAGGAGGAGGAGGAGCAATCATAGGAGGAGGGGGAGGAGGACGAGGAGGAGGAAAAAGAATCGGTGGAGGAGGACGAGGAGGAATTGGAGGAGGAGGAGAGGAGGAGGAGGAGGAGGAGGAGGAGGAGGAGGAGGAGGAGGAGGAGGAGGAAGAGAATGAGGAGGAGGAGGAGGAGGAGGCGGATGCGGGGGAGGGGGGGGGGGAGGGAGGGGGAATGAGAGAAACAGGCGCATAATGATGAGGAGAAGGAGAAGAAGAGGCTGGAGGACAATGGCGGGCTTGTGGGCCCCTTGGGCCGTCTTGGAGGCCTCTTGGCGGTCCCGTGGGCCTCTTGCGTACCTCGGGGAGCCCCTTGGGGCCTCTTGGGGTCTGTTGGGAGCCTCTTGGAGGACTCATCGCTCTTTGGGCCCCTTGGCGCCTTTTGGGGCCCTCTTGGGGCACTCTTGGGGGTTTTCGAGTCGCTCTTGGAGCCATCTTGGAGAACATCGATCAACGAAGGAGATGGTCGCAAGTAGCCCCCCCCCCCCCCCCTGGGAGCCCCAAACATCGCCTCTGTGGACGCTCTTGGGGCGCTCTTGGAGCGCTCTTGGGCGCTCCTGGGGCCGTCTTGGGGCTCTCTTGGGCCTCGGGGCCTTCTTGGGCCATGTTGGAGCCATCTCGAGGCCTCGGATGGCCATCGGAAGCGAACATGCAAGAACGCAGAACACACATTTTTATAGTATTATTATAGCTTTTTGGAGGATTTCGGCCTCTTCGGGGCCTCCCTGGTGAGCTCTTTGGCCACTTGTAGCCGTCTTGGGGCGGTCTTGGGGCCTCTTGGATCATCTTGGAAGCCATCTTGAGGCATTTTGGGCTGTCATGAGCTATATTGAAGGCCATCTTGGGCTCTCCGAGGCGCTCTTGGAGCCATCTTGGGCCATCTTGGACGCTCCACCCCCTCGCGAACCCCCCCGTCCAGGTCCAGGGTAGGGGGTATGGGGAGGGGCAAACCCTTCCTCGAAGGGGAGGAAGGGGGTTGGAAGAGGAACCTCCCTAGACCACCTGCGCCCAAAGGGCTGGTGGGATACAGCCCAAGAAAACATGTGTGGACATGGATTCCGCGTTCGCGTCTCGCCCGCATTTTCTGCGGTGTTTGCATCAGGGTTCCAATGGTATTGTCTGCCTTCGCCGTCCCAAATCCTATGCTTGCTTGTTGCGAGCTTGCGCTACGGCATGTCTACTCGTTTCCCTAACCAGCGAACGCGTGAGGTGTATACATTGCGTCATGGCTCGTGCCTCTTGGACACAGAGCGCGACACATGTGCCGCAGGCGTGCCATGCCGTGCCGTGTTGCGCTTGGTCTTCAGAATGCGGGACATGCGCCGTGTCGTGCTGTGCTTGGTTTTCAGACCGAGAAATGTGCGGTGCCGCGCCGTGCCGTGCCGAGCTTGATCTCCAGAGTGCGAGAATTATTGCAGTGCCGCGCCGTGCCGTGCTTTGTCGACGGCGACGGCGGCGGCGCCGATTCTGAGTTCGTCTGACGACGACGGATGTGTTCGGCGCCAGGGGATTCGTGGCACTCCGAGATCCTATGAGATGCGCGGGCGCGCTCGGCGCCGAGGGTTTCGTTGCACTTTGAGGCCGCGCAAGACGCGCGGATACTCTCGGCGCCAGGGGTTCGTGGCATCTGGAAGCCTAGCGAGACTCGCAGGTGTGCTCGGCGCCGAAGGGGTCTGGGCAGTGTGGGACCCTTTGGGCCGCTTGAAACCGCTTGAATCCGCCATCGGGACTCACCACATATGAAGGTTTCGAGACCCATCCAACACTCACTCATTATAATGTCAGAAGAGAGGTCGGAGAGTCTCAAGGCGGTTCGAGCGCGGAGGGGCCGCCGCCTAGGCGCGCCAAGCGTCGCAGAAGGTCAACCAACTTGTTTGGCCCTTGTCCGTTCCGCGTGCGTGCAGCGCCCGATGTGGCTGCATTGGGCTGTCTTGGGTATGCACGCAGTTGCCATCTGATGGAACATGCACACTTCCATGCCCAATGTATTCGCAGACTGTACGCAAGGGGTTCAGACCCAACAGTGATATTCCCCTTGAGTGGGGCTGTTGGGAATGAGCGCTCTAGCTACGTACAGGCTGTTGGGGGGTGGGCCAAATCTCATGCATTTCCCCGGTTCACCCGCTTGATATGGACGCCGCCGATTATGTTCGGAAAGGGGGGATCCCCCTAACATATTTTTCAAGCCACCCAGGGGCACAACTGGCTGAAATGGTAGGCTTTCATTTCACCTAGGCGACATATGGATGCGTCATTCCAGTTGTTTCCCGCTGCAACCCGCGCCTAGGGTGGAGGCAATCCCGATGCGGAAGAGAAGGGAAGTCAGGTAGACTATAAAGATTTGATTGATGATCGAACCAGGTTGCTTGTGCAACCTTCCACCAGGCGGCATCCCTGCAAATGGAGGTTCAGTGAAGACCTGAAGGGTGAGGGCTGGCTGCTTGAGCCACCCTGGAGCCACGGAGACTGGAGCCAGGAGGAGGAGGAGGAGGAGGGGTAGGATGAGGAACGGGGAGGAGGAGGAGGAGGCGGAGGAGGAGGAGGAGGATGCGGAGGAGGAGGAGGAGGCGGAGGAGGAGGAGGAGGAGGAGGAGGAGGAGGAGAATGCGGAGGAGGAGGAGGAGCAGGAGCAGGAGGAGGAGGAGGAGGAGGAGGAGAAGGAGGAGGAAGAGGAGGAGGGGAAGTAGGAGGAGGAGGAGGACGAGGACGAGGACGAGGGAGGAGGAGGAGGAGGAGGAGGAGGAGGAGGAGGAGGAGGAGGAGGAGGGAGACAAGGACGGCAAGGAGAAAAGTTGTCTCCCCATCCATCCTGTGGCCAGCAGGAACGTCGCTTCCACGAAGGCATCTCGAACAAAAAGCTGAAGCAAGCCTTCTCGTTTGACGAGCTGATGCACCGTATCTCGTGTGCCGAGTTTTCTGATAAAGAGGTCAAGCAGTTGGCGCAGTTGGAGGAACAGGAGCACTTCCGCGACTTCCTGCACAAGAGCAACAGCCCCGGTCCAGAACTCGCCAGTATGCAAGCACGTGCGTTGAAGCTTGACGGTGTGATGCAGCTCGTCAGCGCGTTTGAAGCGGAACGCGTTCGCCGCGGCTTGCCTTTGATTCCCGTTGATGAGCCCAGTGCTGGCGAACAAGACATCGTTGCGAGCCTAACGTCGCCAAATCAATCCGACTCTGCCTTACCTTTGGAGCTAGTGGAGTCGCGATGCTCGCATCAGTCATTCATGGGCTCTGCAGAAAGATTTGCGGACTTCGAAACGCCGCTGGAAGCAATAGCAACCTACTACAGAGGCATCAGCGGGCGCGTGTGCCAGGCGCGTGGCCTGGAGTCTATGGGAAAGGCGTTTACGAGGGTAGTCAGCGTCGATGGGGGCAGGGAGCTCCTAGTATGCTTTCTACATGTTGCAGAAGATTTGATCGATGATAGGACGCAGCTACCTTTGGGGTGCACGCTGAATCCGTATCGAAGTGTGTGGGTCGATGTGGACGGCCTTTGCCAACTGGCCGATTCGCTAGTGCAAGACGGATTTCCAACGTTGCCAGATGTGTTGGCAACAGAGATGCGCAATCGTCAGGTGTCGGATTCAGTGCCCCATTTGGAACGCGTAGTTCGCTGACGGTTGGGATCGGAAAGTTGAAATTGCTGTACGTGAGGTGATGCAGGGGCCAGGGAGAATCCAATGGATGATCCTGTGGGCTTGCGTCATTCCGCCGACCCCCCAGAGAAGATGATCTGTGACGAGTGCCAGGGTTGTTCGGGCGCCCTAGGGCACATGAAATGTAGCAGTATGAGGCGGATGGGTGAATCAGGAAGCCTAATGGGCCATGGCTAGGCTATGGCCTCGGAGCGTGGGTGACCAGCAACTTGGGACGGCCATGCAACCTAGGACCCTCCTTGGAGTCATGTTGTGGTCCCTTTGGGGCGTTTCTGGGTCTCTGGGCTTTGACTGGTGCCCTCTTGGGCCCTCTTTGTGGCTGTCTTGGAGTCACCTGAAGGCCTGACGGGGCCTTCTCGGGACTCTTTGGGAAGCGTTTTTGAGCTATAGTGCTCTGGTCTTCTTGGGCCACCTGGTTGCCCGCTTAAGGCGTCTGGGTCCATCACATGGAGCAAATGCGGCAATGGCAAATCGTTGGAAAACGAAAGGCATTGCAATTGTTACTGCCTCTCGGGGACATACTGGGGAGCTTCCAGGCCCATATAGGGGCAAGCAAGGGCAGGGCCATCGTCAGACCATCGTGGAACCTCGCGGGTAGTATTGGATGCCATTTTCTTGGGCCGCAGTGGAGACATCCTGATTCATTTCGGGGGGCCTCCTGGGTCCGGTGGACCATTTTGGGATCGTGGAGAGCCTGGGAGCTGCGTTGGCAAACCCGCAGGGGCCCCCCTCCACACGCACACATCCCTTCACCTGGCACCCGAAGCATAGCATACGCTTTGTCACCCCTGGCAAGCGGGTGTCGGCGGACTTAGTCTTAGAAAACAGGAGCTGCTGCTGCTGTGGCATGTTACAGAAGCTTCTTCGTTCCGCATGATAATACTTCTGATGAATCGCGACCCCCATTCCACTCCACGGGGAACGTCTGTGAGTCTAGTCCGGCGACAGGCCAAGAAAAACAATTCCAGTATTATTGTTGCTGGCTTATTTTGCCCATGCTATTGCACAGCTTCCCATTTCATACACTACTATCTACGTTGCACATATACATCGTTAGATCGTAAATCGCGGAAGCTTTCGCTCGTCTTGGATTGAACGCATATCGGCGAATAGCGACAAATAGCGCCCAATAGTGTTCAATAGCGCCAAATAGCCAGTACTGCCGAGAAGCGCTCAAACGGCGCCCACTCGCGACCAACATCGCCCAACTGCGCCATGCGAGGGAGATACATTATGTCTGCTTTGCGCGCGATTGGGTGCGCGATTGGGCGCCACAGGGACCACCAGCAGCTTCCGTGATTAGTTTTCGGCGTATCTTGAATGCATTGTACAGTAGTGCGCCGCAGTAAGACACCACACACTATGTATGAGGAGGCCAAGGACGCGGATGGCGCGGAGGAATGGTACGATGACGACGATGACGACGCCGACGACGACGATGACGATGATGATGCTGTTGCTGCTGGGGATGATGATGATAATGAGGATGATGGGCATGACTATGTTGTTGTTGGTGGTGATGATGGCAATGATGCTGATGCTGATGATGATATGACGATGATGACGATGATGACGACGACGATGCTAATGATGCTGATGGTGGTGATGATGATGATGACTTCGACAGCGGCGACGACGAAGATGCGCTGAAGACAATGGTGATGCTGACGATGATGATCATAATGATGACGACGACGATGATGCAACTGATGATGGTGATAGTGATGGTGATGATGCTGCTGCTGATGATGGACATGCAGATGATACTGATGACGATGATGATGACGATGCTGCTGACTATAATGAGGATAAGGATTACAAGTGTGATGACCATCAAAGCTGATGCTGCAGTTGATGATGTTGGTGATGGTGTCGATGCTGCTGCTGATGATGGTGAGGATGCTGATGACGATACCGCTGCTGCTGCTAATCATGATGCTGATGTTAATGACGATGCTGATTATGTTGTTGATGATGCTGATGACGATGCTGATAATGAAGATGACGGGGATGGTGAGGATGATGATGCTGATGATGATGCTGATGCTGCTGATGAGGATGATTATACTGATGGTAAGGACGACCATGATGCTGCTGTTGCTGCAACTGATGATGAGGATGATGATGACGACGATGCCTAGACTCACGAGGATGTTGCTGCTGCTGGTGATGCTGCTGCTGATGATGGCGATCATGATGTTGCTAATGAGATCGACGATGCTGATTGTGCTGATGATGGTAGTGGTGATGATGATAGTGACTGTAATGGTGAGGACGATGAGGATGATGGCGATGACGAAGACGATGATGGCGATTACGACGGTGGTGCTGATGATGATGATGATGATGATGATGACGATTATGGCGATGATGATGACGGCGATGATGATGTTGATGCTGATGTTGCTGATGATGATGCTGATGATGATGCTGCTTCTGATGATGCTGCGGCTGCTGCTGATGATGATGATGCTGTTGATGATGAGACTGCTGACGATGCCGATGGTGATGATGCCGACGACGATGATGGTGATGATGATGACGACGATGAGGATGCTGATGCTGATGCTGATGCTGATGGTACTGATGATGCTGATGATTATGATGATGCTGCTTCTGGTGATGGTGCTGCTGCTGATGAAACTGATGATGATGCTGATCATGATGAGACTGCTGCTGCTGATGATGATGCTGCTGTTGCTGCTGATGATGATGATTCTGAGGGTGATGATGATGACGATGATGATGATGCTGATGATGATGCTGATGACGATGATGATGGTGCTGATGATGATGATGATGATGCTGATGTTGATGATGCTGATTATTTTGATGCTGATGATACTGCTGCTGCTGCTGCTGATGCTGATGCTGATGATGAGGATGAGGATGATGATGATGATGATGCTGATGATGATGATGATGATGATGATGATGACGATGACGATGATGATGATGATGATGATGATGATGATGATGATGATGATGATGATGATGATGATGATGATGAATGATGATGATGATGATGATGCTGATGATGCTGATGATGCTGATGAGGATGCTGATGATGATGATGATGAGGATGATGATGATGATGATGATGATGATGATGATGATGATGGTGATGATGATGATGCTGATACTGACGATACGCAGGATGGGGAAGATGAGGACGACACGGTTCGGTAGCCGTTTTGGTTTGGCTCAGGGCGTGCGTGGGAATCGAGGACCCCATGCTCGAGGAGGCGTCTGACGCGTTTTGCCCCGAGGTTCACCACATCGGGTCTGTCAGGCCAGGTGCTCCCTCTTCTGTGTCAGTTCGAGAGCCCGCTTCCTCCAGTGTCGCCCTTGTTCCATGACCAGTGCGAGAAATGTCTGGTAATGGGCGACGTGCTCTTAATTTTATTCGATTTCCATGTGCGCTGCAGGAAGTCGGTGTGTCATGGACAAATTCCATGAGCAAAATCCACTGGAAGGGCTCCCCGCGCCATGAGTGCAGTCGGAAGCCCGTGACCAGTCGAGGAATGGATTCCCCAGGGATCTTCGGGCAATGGGGGCGTCAGCAGCAAGGAGGTGGCAGCAACGGGGGTGGCAAGACACCCAAAGGCAAGGCCCATATTCCTGAGCAGCAGGCCCCTTGGCTCGATATATCGCGTGCGCAGTTCGGGGCAGCAAGCCAGGGCCTCGAAGTGCCTCTCAGGGGCAAGCCTCGAGGCCAGACCTAGACTCTCGGGCGGATTCTTTTCCTCGCGCTGGCCTCCGACGCGCCCTCGCCCGCACTGCCCCTGGACGTGGCCGCGGAGCTGCTGGGCCGGGCTGACCATGGCGCGCCAGACGGCGTGCGCGGGAAGCCGCTCCTGCGTCTGCCCCCGCCGCGGGCCTGGCGATGCGCACGAGCTGGGCCAGGCGAAGGCCGAAAGGCGGCCGCCGCGCCCGCGTGGCCCGCCGTGCGGCGCGCGGTTGCCCGCACGGGCAGCCGCAGGCGCACCCCTATGTCCGCGACGTGCTCGTGGCGCGGGCGGGCACCGCACCCTCGGGCGCGGCGCGCCTGATCTCCACCTTGTCGCATGCGCCTGGCTCGTTGCACGAGGTCACGGCCGCGGGCCTGCCTGCCTCCCTTGCGAGGGCCCTCGCGCCCGCGGCCCGCCAGGGCCAGGCTGTGCCCGAGGGGGTCCTCGTCGACGCTGGCTGCGAAGACGCCTCTCGGACTTCCCCGCCGAGGGCCGCCCGCAAGCCTTGCAGCGCCCCTGCAAACTTTGAACGGTGCATGGAAAGAAGCGAGTGAATTGGCCAGGAGCGTCAACATTGGAGCGTTCCTGCAGGCCTCGTTGTTGCACATCTTTTCTTCCTTTCCCCCCCTAGCCTCTGATTCCTCCTCGTCTGCGTCGGCGTCGTCTTTTTTGCCTTCACCCTCCATTGTCTTTCCTTCGGCGTTGCTTCCATTGAGCGTGCAACGCGCAGGCTCCTCTGTTAGCTGTCGCGCAGGATCGCGCGCCCCTTGTCATGTGCAGTCGTTTCGTAAGGTCCCGTTGACGGTGCTATGTGATGCATATTTGTTTGGTACGTTTGTGGGTAGTCGGCAAAGATTGTGTGGGGATTGTTCCGTCCATTCGGAACTTGCTTGAATGACGGAGGGTGTGCGGATTCATGGAAAAACAATGAGTGGGGACAGGGCGGAAGGAGGGGGAGGAGAAAATAGGACCGAGAAAGGAGGAGGAATAAGTGGAGGAGGAGCACGAGGAGGCGGAGGAGGAGGAGGAGGAGGTGGAGGAGGAGGGAGGAGGAGGAGGAGGGGAGGAGGAGGGGGAGGAGGAGGAGGAGGGGGAGGAGGAGGAGGAGGAGGAGGAGGAGGCGGAGGAGGAGGAGGCGGAAGAGGAGGAGGAGGAGGAGGGGCAGGCAAGGAATAGAGGAGAGAATAGCACCGCGGGGGTGGGCGGAGTTGGTCACTCGGCGGGCGGAGCGCGCCCCGCGGATGCGCCTCCGACCCGCCGCGCGCGCCGCCAGGGCAGGCTGCTCCACTGCCGCTGGAAGGGCCACAACGCGTGCCTGCCGGACTGCGTCCGAGGCGAGGGGGGAGGACGAAGGGGTGAGGAGGCGGTGGAGGAGGAAACAGGGGAAGGACGAGGGAGGAGGATGGAGGTGGAAGCAGGATGATAATGATGATGCTGATGATGATGCTGATGATGATGCTGATGATGATGCTAATGCTGATGATGATACTGATGATGATGCTAATGCTGAGTATGATGATGATGCTGATTTCGGTGATGACGATGATGATGCTGATGCTGATGATGACGATGTTACTGATGACGACGATGATGAGCGCTGATGATGTTGGTGCTGATGTTGATGCTGATGCTGATGCTGATACTGCTGCTGATGATGATGCTGATGCTGATGCTGATGCTGTTGTTGATAATGATGATGATGATGCTGCTGCTGATGATGATGGTGGTGATGATGATGATGATGATGATGATGATGATGATGATGATGATGATGCCGATGCTGAGACTGCTGATGATGATGATGATGATGATGATGATGCTGATGCTGCTGCTGATGATGATGGTGATGCTGATTCTGATGATGATAGTGATGATGGTAATGTTGATGATGGTGGTAATGATGATGACGATTGCGAGGGCGAGGGCAAGGATCAGCTGCATTATTACGATAACGACATCCGGTGGGACGGATCTTGAACGACCCCGAAAATTCCCAAGAGGCAAAACCTTGGAAAAACCAATGGTTGTCTAACAATTCACTCAGAAGCAAGCGTTTCGCAATCGAGACATCCTCAAACATGCTGTGGGACAGGTCGTCGAATATTTCAAGATCTGGTGAAGATGTTGATGATGATGGCCGTGGTGGTGGTGAAGATGAGAGTGATGATAGCGATGGTGATGATTCAGTTGACGGTGATGACGGGGTTGATCAGGACGAGGACGAAGACCAGGATCAGGACAAATTGCCCCAGGGGGTCACGACCAAGACCAGGAACATTTTACTATCTGCGCCAGGTCAGCGCCTCGTCAGAACTTGCGCGGGTAGTGAACTCGACCTGATCCCCCTGTGTGCGTTCGGGAAGGGCGCCTACTCTACAATTGATTTCAATGGTGGTGCACGCTCTTGAAGCGCTGTTCACTTTCACGCGCTTCCCGTTCATGTCACGAAACGTTGGTGAAAAATGGCTTGTTTCGCTCGAGAAGTCCTGAAACAGTCGGCTCCGGAGGGGGTTCTGAACCAACGTCGTCCAGGAATCGCTCTGGGAGGGCCCCGACATGGCCTAGAAGAGCCCCCCCACGGCCTCCCAGAGGATTCAAAGAGGGTCCCAAGACGCTCCCAGGAACGTCCGAGGAGGCCCCCAGACGGTCCAAGAGAGCCCCAGCGCAGCCAACGATTGGACCAAGACGGCGGAAGAGAGCCCCCACAGAACCATAAGACACGCCCAGAAAGCCCAAGAAGACCCCAGAAGATCCCAGAAGCCCCCAAGAAGACCCCGAAAGACCCAAATAGGCTCCCAAGATGCCCGAAGATAGTCCCAGACGGCCCCAACAGCCCCCAGGATAGCATCAAAAGATCAAGAGGACCTCCCCCGCTTCTTCCACGTCCTTTTCCTCGTGCTCCGTACTGTCATCCTTCGTCGTCGTTGTCGTCGTCGTCGTCCTCCTCCTCCTCCTCCTCCGCTTCATTCCACCTCTTGCTCATCCTCCTCCATCTCTTCCTCCTCGTCTTTTTGCATGTCGTCCTCCTTGTTATCCTGCTGCTCCCCTCGCTGCCCTCCCCGTCATCCACGCTGTCATCCTCGTCACATGCCGCCTTGTCGTCGCCATCATCCTTCTCCTTGTTCCCCCTACGAGCCCAGTGGACAACATCATCGGCTCTTCCCGTTCTTGTCCAATCAGGTTTCTCGCTCCTCGTCTGCCTCCTCCTGCTTCTTCTGCTGCTGCTGCTTCTCCGCCTCCCTCTGCCAGAGCACCCCGCCAGGTGGACGCGGGATCGGGCAGGACGGGTGCGAGTTCGAGGACCGCTTCGTGCACCCGAGAACATGAGCGGTGCACGGCGCTGCGGAGAAAGAAAGAGGCGCGCGGGGCGCTCTTGGAAGGGGGCGACGACGCCGGCACTTCCGATCCGCCGCGACGTCACAGCGTCTCGCGAGGTTCTTTTTCGCTCCTCCTTCTGAAAGGGAGAGGGGGTGAGGGAGGGAGGGGGGAGGAGGGGGGGCAAGGCTGGAGGGCGGGAACTGGGGAGGGAGGGGGGGTATGAGGAGAAGGCGGAGGCCGGAGCTGTTCTCTGGCTCCGGCCCGGTGCAGGGTTCATGCCCCGTCTGGCCTCCGCCGTTCCGCTGCGCGGGGGGGCCTCCTTCGTGCGGCTCTTTGGGCGCTGCTCGGTGATGCCTTGCGATTCTTCGACCGCACTCGAAGCGCTCTCAACGGGCCTGGCGACATTTCCACGGTGCTCGATGCCTGCGGGCGGCGCGCCTCGATGGAGTCCGCGACGTGTTCGACACGGCATTGGAGGGCTGCTGTCTTTGGCTCCCTCCTCCCTCCTCCCTCCTCTCTTCCCCTGGCGAGGTTCCATCGAATTCAAATTCAAATTTCGATGTTTCTCTATCTGGTTTTCCTTCCAGGGTCCTCCTGAGGGTTCTCCAGATAGAGCCAGGTTTGAGCACACGTGGACCGTCATGCCATCGTTGCACCGCCGCACCTCTCTTCCCCCTCCCCGTTCCCCTCCCCCTCGACGGCGTCCGAGGCTCGCCCACTCGGCCTACGTGGCCCGTCTCGACGATCGGCTGCCGATGGCCTTCCCGATGGCGCTCGGCGCATCTCTGGCCACCGTCGGTGCGGATGGCATTCGAGGAGGAGGAGGAGGAGGAGGAGGAGGAGGAGGAGGAGGAGGAGGAGGACTTGGTCCGCAGGCCCCGCCTCGGCGATCGGCTGCCCATGCCCCCTCGACGTGCCCTCGTCGCACTCCCGGCCGCTGTCGGGGCGCCCTTCCCGGCCTCCCCCCGCATTCCCTCCGTCTCTCCTCTCGCTCCCTCTCCTCCTTCCCTGCTCCACTCCTCTGCTTCGATCCTCCTTCCCCCCCCTCTGCTCCGCCTCCACGTCCTGCACCTCCGCCTGCTGCTCCTCCTCGTCCTTGTTTTCCTCCTCCTCCTCCTGCTCCACCTGGTTCTCCCCACCTCTTTTTCCTCCTCCTCTCCCCCCCGTATCCTGTCTCTTTCCGCTTTCCCATTCTGCGTCCTCCAGCTCGGCTCCTCTCTTTTCGCCGCCACCTGGGCTCAAGCAACAAAAAAACCTAAAAATAGGAAAATCCTAAAACCAGTAAAGAGCGTGCTCGGAAAGCACGCGTGTACCAAGTGAAACTTCAAACAACAAAAAGTAAACAGGACTTTCACGTATTAGGCATGGCGGCTGGGGCGACTGGCGCTGCTGTGCCTCAGTTTGCATCCCTCTACGTGGGCGATTTGCACGCCGACGTGACCGAGGCTATGCTCTACGAGATCTTTAACTCCGTGGGGCCGGTTGCGTCCATCCGGGTTTGCCGCGACAGCATCAGCCGCAAGTCCCTCGGATACGCGTATGTCAACTTCCACAGCGTGCAGGACTCGGCCTCTGGGATCGTGGCGGGCCACGAGCCTGCTTGGCAGCCCCCGGTTGTTCGCCCAGGGGGCCCTCCCGTCCCCATTGGTAGAACCGGGTCGGGATGTGGCCTGGGCCCCCGTGCGCTGGGTCACCCGCAGGGGCGCGAAGATAGCAGCGCTTCGCGCGTCGCGGTCTGGGCTGGAGGGGCGCCCTTCTCGAGGCCGAGGGGGGCGAGGGCGCGAAGAGGAGAGCCGCGCGTCGCGCATCGCGGGGCGCGCTGCACGGAGTCGGGTGACCTTGCATGCAGTCGACGTCGAGCAGATCTTGGCTGGAGGAACGCAGCATGCTTGTTGTTGGGTCGTGTCCGCGGTCGCGTACGTCGGTCACGGCATCCGATCGGAGGCGCTGAACAGTTTCAATCGGAGGCCAGCGGGCATGCGAAGAGGTGCCGTGAACTTGTGGGCTCTCCAGCAGATCCCCACCGTGCTGAATCAGGCGTCGACCTCTGTAGGTACTCCAGGCCCCTGGCTTTGCCCATCCTGGGCCCAGGATCGGTGTGGATGCTTCCCCGGCCAAGCCAGGGGGGGCGTGTGCACGCCGCTCTCGGGGCCAGGATGGTGCTGCTCCGGCCAGGAGCGGCGGATGTGTGTGTGTGTGTGTAGCTCTTGGCGCCCTCTCCCCGACAGGGCGGGGGAGTAGGGGAACGAGGGCGAGGAGGGCAAGACGGGGGATGCGACGACGTGCCAGCGATGATACGGTGGCCGTGGACGTTCGGCGGCGACGTCGGCCGCGGGCGCCCAGCGGCGCTTGGCGGTGCGGCGCGGCGTGTGGGAGAGACGCCGCGGATGCGTGCTCGCCTCCCTCGGCGCGAGCGTGAGTAAGTAAGACGGGGGATGCGGGGCTGGGGCCAGGCGATCGCAAACATGGATCAAGGGGGCGTGGATTCGCGACGCGTCCCGTTTCCATGGGAAATCGCGGACTTCCGCCGCCGAGCGAGGCGGCACCGGCTGCATTTTGGGGAGGGCACTTCCCCCGATCCATGGGTTTGGCGACCGCGCGCCGAATCCATGGATCGTGAATCCATGTTTCCGCTCCCCCGATGGGGTGGGGTGCAGGAGCAGCAGCATGGGAGGAGGAGGAGGGCCGCGGTTCTGGGGGCGTCCAGCTGCGAAGCCCGGAGGACGCCGAGAGGGCGCTCGACACGCTGAACTACTCCAGTATCAAGGGCCGCTCGTGCCGCATCATGTGGACCCAGCGCGACCCGAGCATGCGCAAGAGCGGCCCGCACGGGAGCGGAAGAACAGCGGCCCTCACCCCCGTAGCCGCCACCACTTGCATTACCCTGTCTTTTCTCCCTACCTCTCTTTCTAGACATAGATGTGTATATATGTATATGTATATGTATATATATATATATATATATATATGTGTATATATATGTATGTATGTATACATGTATGTCTATGTATGTGTGTGTGTGTTCATTTGTGCATATACACATCTATATATCTGCCTATGTCGATATATACATATATCTAGATGTGTGTAGGTCTGTCTGTCTGTCTGTCTGTCTGTCTGTCTGTCTGTCTGTCTGTCTGTCTGTCTGTCTGTCTGCCTGTCTGTCTGTCTGTCTGTCTGTCTGTCTGTCTGTCTGTCTGTCTGTCATTATGTATGTATGTATGCTTGTTTGTATGAATGTATGTATGTATGTATGTATGTATGTATGTATTTATGTATGTGTGTATGTATGCATGCATGCATGCATGCATCCATGTATGTATGTATGCATGCATGCATGCATGCATGTCTGTCTGTCTGTCTGTCTGTCTGTCTGGCTGGCTGGCTGTCTGTCTGTCTGTCTGTCTGTCTGTCTGTCTGTCTGGCTGGCTGGCTGTCTGTCTGTCTGTCTGTCTGTCTGTATGCATGTATGTATGTGTGTATGTATGCATGTACGTACCCCTGGGCACGAGGCGGGGGGGCCCGTGACCTGGCCGCCGACAGCGCACGGGTGGACCAGGCCGCCAGGGACGCCCCGAGAAGGCCCAAGACAGTCCCAAACATATTCAAGGGTCCCAAGAGGCCTCCTAGTCGGTCCAAGAGGGCCCAGAGTCGCCGAAGTATCGTTCTGACACGCCCAAGATGGCCTCCAGACGGCCCAACAGGCTTCCAACACGGCCCAAGGGGTCTCCAAGAGCACTCCCAACCAAAAGGGCCCCAGCGGCAAAAGGCATTGATTTTCTTTGGGTTTGTGCTGGATTTTCGCGTTGCTGCCTTAACGGCTTCCCGACACTCCAAGACGAACCCGGAGGTCTCAACTATTGCCCCAACACGGCCTCAGAGGCCCCCAAGAGGGCGCCGAGACGGCCCAAGAGGCCCTCCAGACTGCCCAAGAGGCCTCCAGGGCAGCCCAAGAGGGCCCCAAGAACGCCTCAAGAGAGACACCAGAGTGGGAACGACATTTCGAGCTCTCCGCCTCTTGAGGTCCCCAAGAGGCCCCAAGCAGCTCCCAAGAGGCCCCTAAGAGGCCCCAAGAAGTCCCCAAGAGGCCCCCAGGAAGCCCCAGGAGGCCCCCGAGAGGCACCCCAAAGCCCTCCCTCAGACGCCCTGAGACACTCCTGATGATCGTCGACGCCGTCCCATCACCGAGTTGCATCCCATGTCCCGCTCGCCCGCCCGACTATGCTTCTTTCGCGCGTCGTCTTCGTCAGTGGTGGATAGTCTAAATGCTTGGGACCTCTTGAGGGCCTCAAGGAAGAGGAGTAGGAGAAGGAGGAGGAAGAGGAGGAGGGTGATGATGATGATGATGATGATGATGATGATGATGATGATGATGATGATGATGATGATGATGATGATGATGATGATGATGATGATGATGATGATGATGATGATGATGATGATGATGATGATGATGATGATGATGATGATGATGATGATGATGATGATGATGATGATGATGATGATGATGATGATGATGATGATGATGATGATGATGAGGAGGAGGAGGAGGAGGAGGAGGAGGAGGAGGAGGAGGAGGAGGAGCAGGAGCAGGACCAGGAGCAGGAGCAGGAGCAGAAGGATCAGGAGGATCAGGAGGAGGAGGAGGAGGAGCAGGAAGAGCAGGAGGAGGAGGAGGAGGGCGAGCAGAAAGGCCAGAGGTCTCTTGGATGCGTCTCGGAGTCTCGTCGGATTTCTTCGAGAGCGTCTGGTCCGCCGGTTGTAACCGATCGGCGGCCGAATCGGGCCCAGGGGGGGAACCCTTGCGTCCGGGGTGCGGGTGGTAAAATATCCACGCCTGGAAATATGCCCTCCACAACAACCTCCCTGCGTGCTCGAGGGTAAGGGGCCACAAACACATTTTTTTTGGGTGGGGGGCGGTCCTGTTTTCGGCCCCAGGGCTTCCTCCGCGACACGGAAAATCACGCGGGGGCCGTCTTCTCTCTTTCTCTCTCGATTTCCCACCGCGCTTGCGTATGTGTTCATGCTACGAACGCCAAGGCTTTCACAAGTTTCTGAAGCCGTGATGACCATCGAACGCCAGCGCACTGGGTCAGAATTATGATGTCTCCCTGTAGAGATATTGCGGACGCTCCTGTAGGGATCGGCCAGCTTCCGCCCCCGCTACCTACCGAATGAAATATGTATGCAGGTCCATTGCTTGAAGGAGGCCCCGATCTACCAGGAGGTCGCCGAGCTGCTGCTACAGGGTGCCGAAGGCGCTGACGACGACGGTGAGGCCGAGGCGCGGGCGAGGAGCTTGCTCATGTGCAGGCCCAGCGAACAGGAGTTCACGTGGCAGAGCTCGGGGCCGCACGTCGTGCGCCGCTGAGGGTTCACCCTGAAGCGCGCGTCCTACCTGACCTCCACGTTGTCGCAGGGTCAGACGCTGCGCAAGGGCGTCGCCGTCGACTGCGTCAGGGATGAGGGCGCTGGTCGCGCGAGCATGTCGGGCGAGCAGTGGTGGCTGCACCTCTACGTCATGTTCTCCCGCGCCACGTGCTTGCCGAAAATGCGGATCCAGCGGCCGCCCACGCGAGACTTCCTGGAGCGCGGGCCGCCGGTGTCCTCGCGGAAGGCGCTCGTTGAGTTCGACGAGAAAACGATGGACGCCAGGGCTGAGGCGGAGCAGCTCGCGGCGAAGCTGTGCTCCAAGCTGCCTCCCGCCTGGTCGCGACTTGCGGAGGTATCCTAACGGCTGGCTCCCACGCCCCGGCGGCTCACGGGTTTGTCCCAACGGCCTCGCCCGCGGGGCTGCCCCGACGGCGTCGCGATCTGGCCATCGGACAACGCGCTCGCGCCGCTCGTGGCCGCGTCGGCGCCGAGGAAAATCGAGTTGCCAAGGCCAAAGAGGTGCATGGGGATACCGGGCATGAGGGGGATAATATAACGAACGTGACTAAGATGGACAGGAGGAGGACGAGGAGGAGGAGGAGGAGGAGGAGGAGGAGGAGGAGGAGAGGAGGAAGAGGAGGAGAGGAGGAGGAGGAGGAGGAGGAGGAGGAGGAGGAGGGAGGAGGAGGAGAGAGGAGGAGGAGGAGGAGGGAGGAGGATTATGATGATGAGGAGGAGGAGGAGGAAGAGGAGGAGGAGGAGGAGGAGGAGGGGGAGGAAGAGGAGGAGGAGGAGGAAGAAGAGGAGGAGGAGGAGGAGGAGGAGGAGGGGGAGGGAGGAGGAGGAGGAGGAGGAGGAGGAGGAGGAGGAGGAGGAGGGGGAAGGGGGCAGGAGGAGGAGGGAGGAGGAGGAGGAGGAGGAGGAAGAGGAGGAGAAGGAGGAAGTGAGTGCGAGTAGGAGGAGGAGACGGAGGGCAAAGATGACGAGGAGGTGGAGGAGGAGGCGCAACAGAGAGCGGGAGGAGGGCCTTCGCCAGGGCGAACGACAAAAACGAAAACAAAACACAATAATTTCACATGTGTGGTCCAACCGTCGGAGTAATCGTCGTGTCGATCCCTTCCGCCCCGGGCGCTGGCTCCCCGCGCAACTTTCATGCGGTGCTATGCTACGCGATGCCCTTCCATGCTTTGCTATGCTGTGCTGTGCATTGCACGGTGCTGCTATGCAGTGCCATGCGTAGCTGGGCCGTGCTATGCAAGGCTCTCCTGTACCATATTTGGCTGTGCGATGCTACGCTGTGTAGTGATATGCCAACATTGGTAAGTTGTACAGTCGCACGAAATCTTTCACATTGCGATGCAATGGTGTGCTTTGTCGTGCGATGTGATGCGATAGTATGTCGTACTGCGCTATACAGTATAAGCCTTGCTATCAACTGCTGCTCCATGTTGGTGTAATGTGATAATGAGGTGGTGACGCCAACACCATTGCAACACTCTATGTGTGTGCACAGTTTGACCACTCGGGGGGTGATCTCGGGATGCTCTTTGAGCCGTCATCTGGCGGTATTCGTGTCTCTTGGAGGATTGAACTATCAGCAGCCATCTAGGAGGTCTCTTGGCTCGAAGGCCTCCCAACAATACCCCTGACAGGTCAACGCCATTGAACAACCTTGTTGGTTTTAAAGTGTGTTGGCTTCGAGCGAAGGGGTGGATCTAATCAGCCCTACCATCAGAGACCACAAAATCGTCTCTTGGAGCCCTCTTGAGACGCTCTTGGACCAGTCTTGGGCCGTTTCGATGCCTACTTGATGTCTTCTGGGCCTAAAAGGGCTCTTTTCGGCGATCTTGGAGCTATCGTGAGGCCTCGGAAGCCCATCGAAAGCGGAACGGCGAGAAGCCAATCAACAGTGAACAAGTGGAGTTTGTGTCACTGATTGGTTCTCGGGTGCCCCCTCGGGAGGCTCTGTGGCCACTCGGAGCCGTTCTGGGGCGGTCTTGGGGCCTGTTGGAGGCATTCTGGAAGCCAATCTTGAACTATCTTGGGCTATCCTGCGTCTTCTTGGAGGCAATATTGAGCCATCTGGGGCCCTGTTGTGGCCACCTTGGGCTAAGATGATCTTTTGGCATCTCGCGGCCCTCCCGTCCAGACCCAGTGGACCGACGCGCGGACCCTTCCAGTCGACTGGTGGCCACACCGCTGGCTCGCAGTAGACTCTAGAACGGCTCAAGACGTCGCCAGGACGGCCCCAGATGGCCAGACATGACCAGACTAGACAAGACACGACAAGAGGAGCCAATTTTGCGAAGTCACGTCCAGGTGGTCGGCCCAAGAATACCCATGACGCCGCCAAGAGGGCTCCCGATAGGCCGAGACCTGTCACAACACATATGTTGGTGCCTTCGACACCTTCTTGCGCCCACACGGCTCTTGAGGCTTCATGATTGCATCAAGGGGACCCCACAGGAGCCCCAAGACGGGCCCAAGAGGGGCCCAGCACGGCCTACAGGCCCCACGAGGGCCCCAGGAGAGACCCCTGCAGACTGGGGAGGGTTTCTGCTTTCGATGTTACGGCCCTCCGCTGCGAATTCGAAAGCGTAGTAGAGCTGGATTCCGCAGCCACTGGGGGATCCTGACGAGACTCTCCGGCAGCGCAGCTGTCCCAGACACTGATCTCGGCGAGGACGCCCGACGCAGACATGAAGATTGTCGGATGTACGTTACGCGAAGCAACGCGGCCGCAATGACGCGTACCAGCCCAGGCTTTCCAGAAACCTATCATATGCCAGCCAGTGTGGGCCCCAAACAGCGATATCCTGCGATTTCTGCGGTGCAGCCTAGGCGGAGCAATGACTGAAGTGCAATGCAGGCTGTGCAACCCATGTGGTGCACTCTGTGTGGCGCAAAATAATGCAACTCAATGCAAGGCACTGCGCAGCAAGGCTAAACAATGCGAAGCAGCGCCCAGCAATGCAAGACAATGAAAAGCACTGCAAAGCAAGGATTACACGCAATGCAAAGCAACGCAACGCAATTCAACGCACTGTAAAGCACAGCAATGCACAGCAAAGCAAAGCAATACACAGCACTGCAGAGCAAAGCAAAGCAATGGACATCAACGCAAAGTAATCCAAAGCAAGGTACACCAACGCAAAGCAACGCAAGGCAAGGCGGCGCAATGCAAATCAAGGCAAATCAATTCAAACCATTGCAGAGCAATGTACCGTAATGCTAATTACTACAACGCAATGCAAGCCAATGCAAAACAAGGCAACTCAACGCAAGTCAATCCAAAGCAGTGCAAGCCAATGCAAATCACTGCAACACAATGCAAAGTTATGCACATCAAACCATTACTAAGCAATATATGTCAACGCAACGCAGTGCAGCGCAATCCAAACAGATGCAATGCAATGCAAAGCAATGCCCAGCAATGCCCAGCAATATGAAGCAACGCAACGCAGCGAGAAGCCGTGCAAAGCAATGCCGAGCAACTCCAAGCCATGCAACGAAAAGCAATGCAACGCAAGGCAAAACAATGCAAAGCAGTGCAAAGCAATGCAAACCAATGTAAAGCAGTGCGAAGAAATGCGAAGCCACGAGCTGCCACCGAAGATGTCTCGCCCGTGCTTCCGTCTTCATGGCGCCCCCCCTCCAGCCCCTGTTGGCATCGCTCGCACGTGTGCCTCTTTGGGGGGCGATGACTATCGAGGAACATCCTGGATTATCTTGCAAACAAAAAAACAAGTGCGAAGACATGCGAAGCAATGCAAAGCGGGCGGCGACGAGGCGGCGGGCGGCGACGGGGCGGCGACGGCGGCCACATGGCGGCCAGAATGGCCCGCAGGCCCAGACGACGTGCGGCGACGAGACGGCGTCGGAGCGGCGACGGCGACCACGTAGCCGCCAGACCGACGCGCAGGCCCAGACGACGGGCGGCGACGAGCTGGCGACGAGGCGGCGACGGCGACCACATGACCGCCAGACCTAAGAAAACAAGGAAGAAGCCGTAAGTACAAACACTGTTCGGGGAACGACTGCTGAATTTTGGGTTGATGTCGGCGCGTGAGAGGATGCCTCAGGCGAATTCATTGTGCTTGTTTTGCGTTTGGCCCGTCAGGAAACGCAGCGGAGACCGTGCCGAAACCGCGGAACCCGCTGGCAGCCTCCAGGAGCCCGCTCCGGAGGCCGTTTGTCTTCGAGGACGTCTTACGCGAAAGCGGCATTTCCAACCATACCCGGGGATCGTTCTAAATTGTCCAAAAAGACGGGGAGTCCACCGCCCCGTTCAGGAGCCTGCAGCTTCCCGCCCGCCAGGCTCACGCGGAGTCTTATGGCTCGATGGCGGCCATCGCTGCTTGGGTCTCATCGCTGACGCCACGCAGGCAGGCGACGACGACTGGGAGCATGCTTTCTGCCCGCGCGTGCTGTGGCACCGGCACCCGCTCAGGACATATATCTAACAACACATGCGTTGCCTGTGAAAAAAGAAGCACGGCTAAAAGACAAGAAGCCATGTTCATAGCAGGACGCACGGACAAAGCTAAAGATGAACTCTACCTTTTTCCGAAGGGCCCCAAGAGGTCCCTAAACTCGTCTATATTTCGAAAACTCCATCCAGCGTCCATCCAGCACCCTGAGCGCCCAAACGGCCCCTAGATGCTCAAGAGTCTCCAAAGAGCCTGCTAAGATGCCCAAAAGGATCCTTCCAAGAGACCTTCCAGAGGATCCTAAGCAGCCCCCAAGAAGTTCCTAAGCGGCCCCCAAGAGGCCCCACGAGGCGTCGCTAGGCGGAGGGTTTATTTTCCGTCGTGGGGTAGGAAAAGGTGTGAACCATCACCGATGGGGAAGCGAAGAATATGATTTACATAATTTTATCACTAAGCCACCTACGCTCAGGGACCTGGTGGGAGTAATAGTTCGAGTGGTAGTGGTATCAGTATCGTGTGCGAGCAGTTCACTGATTGATTGTCTGTTCGGGTGTAGGAATGGAATTTTGGCTGCGCAGGAATGCAAGCCAGCAGCGGCTTGTACATTACGCGTGGGGACGACTGCGTAGGAACAGCTGCCTGCCCAGTTCATCAGCTGCACTCTTTGCCGCAGGGTACAGAAGAGACTACCCCGATGATAGCACGTGGCAGGGGTCCATAGGTTCGGGTAATGATCAAGACAAGCCTGGTGCATCCCAACGGCAGGGTATTCGGACCTCGGACGAGAGTAGGACTTCGAGCACGAGAGCAGCCCGCTGGCAACAACTG